AAGAAAAGAGGAAGTCCGAGCGTTACTCGACTCTACTAAAAGCTCAAAGGTATGCAGAAGTACTTGTACGGTAGACTAACCCAAGAGCACCACAGGGAATAGAGCCACCTGGTCCCGTAAGTCTAGACTATCCATTCCACATTCCTTCTCACTCACTTATCACTCTAGGGTATGATACATCTAAACACACACGCACACCCTATGCGTCCTTGTGCACCTTCGCCCTATGGTCCCCCTTGTTTGCAGGAAATCTCACCAAATCGGCCGTAACATGGCATCCCTTGTTTAACTTCACCCAAACCCGCATGGGGCCGGCTACAACTCTGGGCGGCCCCCGGCACTGAGCAAATCAGACGTCGGGCATGTCGCACGGAGGATAATCGAGCGCAGCAACGAATGAACGAATGGAATCAAGAAGGTGCGGATTCACAACGCGACTACCATATCGGCAGTGCAGCAATCATGTCAAGGAAGCAACCGCCATGTTCAAACTACTCAGTCTCCCTTCGATCAGGAATAAAAAGGAGCGCCCCACCTTCCTTTTTTTTGGCCTATCAGGTATGGGAGATCACCAACTTGTGGCTAAAAGGGAACTTTTGGTGAGCGAGTGACATGAGTTTAGGTGAGGTATCATAATGTAGCCTTGAGCAATGTCCTTTTGCCAAGCTATCCTGCTATCTACTCGAGTATCCATCTCGCCTCCCTCTGCCCGCGTTGGTAATCGTTGGCTCTCGGTGTATGCCAGCTTCCCCAGAGTTCATCATGCCTCGTGCTCTGGGGTTCAGCGCAGCTGGAGAGCCCGTCCGTCCGTTCTCCCCTTTACAAGACCTTGCCAGCCCAACCTAGTCTACCGGTAGTCCAGTCCAGTTCTGAAGATTATCTTCCTGGGAAGGGAGAGGGCGTGAGGGCGTGAGAGCGAAAAATATTATAATAATACAATCCATAGCTCAATACTTGATCAAAGTAACAGTGCAGGGAATCCAATCATCCAAGTGCAATTTTTTTCTTTTTTCTCTTCTTTTCATCCCATCTCTAACAACTCGATTACTAGTCAGCCATAGCTGCAAGCGTATGGCGCCCTTGCCTAACTCTGCTCGTGTGTCCTGTACTCGTACTCGAGTATCGTAGGGTACTTGCTTTGTCTTTTTTCCCTTTTCCCTTCCAATCCACTTCAGGTGGGGGAACCGATCGCACTTCAGAGGTGAACACTGCACAGTACGGTGCGTAACGCTCTTACCTGGGCCTTGGCCTTGGAGGGGACAAGAAAGAAAGCCGGGAATGGGATGACTTCATTTCATTGTGCAAGTACTGATGCTCGGGTACATGACCCTTGACAGCCCGGGGACGGAATGTTCTCTGTTCCTCGATCCTTCCATACCACAATATTATGGCACTTGTCCTGGTGATAAATCAATATTTTCTTCAATTTCGCCTGGCAACCCCCCCCCCCCCTTCATCGTGGGGGTATCATGAAAAGTCTTGAAATCCGCCATCAGATTGTCCGCTTGCGATATGTCTAGGTTAACGGGATTGCGGATACCGGTTGATGGGATCCGGCGCGTCCAGCGAGCTGATCTTATACTGGGAGAAAACTGACCCTTCCTGGGGGTTTTTGTCTCTGGATCCGGAGGTTACAGGGCGGTAGAGGTGGTGG